AAAATAAATGGAAATAATCTTAACTTGGTCCCATAACTGAACCAACACAGGAAAAAAAGGATTCCGAATAAAAAAATATGTTTTCCAAAAAAAGAACAGTTTATATGAGCAAATAGTTCATATTTCTGATTCTCGGCAGAACGAGGGTAGTAAGAGTTATATTTACATTACTGGTATGTTTTGAGGTTTAATATATTGGCCAACCAGTATTCAATCATTTTTGATGAGTTAATGTGTTCCAGTGACGTGTACAAATATACAACATAAGTTTGAAGAGAAATGACACATTTAACACCAAAAAGATGTGAATACTGAATTTCTATAATTTTATTAGGTGAAAATACACAACACACAGAATGACAGACATGACTCTACTTCTATGATAGCTGGAATGACAGACATGACTCTACTTCTATGATAGCTGGAATGACAGACATGACTCTACTTCTATGATAGCTGGAATGACAGACATGACTCTACTTCTATGATAGCTGGAATGACAGACATGACTCTACTTCTATGATAGCTGGAATGACAGACATGACTCTACTTCTATGATAGCTGGAATGACAGACATGACTCTACTTCTATGATAGCTGGAATGACAGACATGACTCTACTTCTATGATAGCTGGAATGACAGACATGACTCTACTTCTATGATAGCTGGAATGACAGACATGACTCTACTTCTATGATAGCTGGAATGACAGACATGACTCTACTTCTATGATAGCTGGAATGACAGACATGACTCTACTTCTATGATAGCTGGAATGACGGTTCATTGCATTTTATTTTGCCATTCAGCGTTAAACATCGTGCACTATGCGTGGTTCGTACAGTAGAAAACAAAACGTGTCGACCCCGGAAGTTTGAATGTTACGTGGTTACTACCGAATCGAACAGACGCGCTGTATTCGAGGTACTGAGGATTCTCGTGCGTGCACACATGACGACTCTAAGGTCTCGGGCTCTTTTCAAGTTCCAGACAAATTAAATGTACTACGACATGAACTTGAATCCGACACTGCGACGGTTCAGTCATTTGAAATGTTTCGTTGCAATGCCGCGCCCTACATACATTCTAGGAACCACGTGGTCAGATACAGAGGCGGATTTGAGGGGGCGCCTCCACTAAAACCGTCGTTACTCGTAAGCGCAAATCCCATATTGCAATGCGATAATGACACAGTTTCCCGCGCAAATTAAATATAACATATACGGAACTTGAACTACCATAATATTGGTATAACAATGCGTTAGTAGGCGCACATTGACACACTAAAATTCGACCTCCACTCAAATCCCCTCAATACGGTAATATTACATTTATGACGCGTGTAAGTCATCCCATTACTAAACAAGTAATTGTATTACATAGCTCCGTGAGTACTCAGTTTTTAAAAAATATATAAAGTTTGAACATGGACAGTCCAGACTACATTCACAAAAAACAAAATGGCCACCAGTCGGTCATCTTGAAGCCGATCTGACAAACAAAGTTCAATGTACATGCCAAGTTTGAAAAACATATATCTATGCATGACCAAAATCCAGATCAGAAATTGCAGAAATGCTTGATTTGGTGAATTTTTAACATTTCCGTCCATCTTGAATTGTGAGATGAACACATGTGCATATGTACGACATGATGTATATCTGAAGTTTGAAAATGTTTGGAACAGAATTGACGTGCACCAAGGCCCATAATGTCTGATCTGGCTCCGTAATGACAAAAATGCTTTAATTTTATGAATTTTCAACATTGAAATCGCCGCCATTCCGATCATCATCTGTGAGCAACATGATGTATGACATATATATATATATATATATACTAGTACATATGATTGGTCAAAGCATGTCAGTGATATGACTCTGGAACAGCATTCATTAAAATAAAATGGCCACCAGTCGGCCATTTTAAAAATTATATAAATCAAGGCCCCATAATTAAACAATATATATAATATTTAAGTTTAAATAAAATCCGTCTATTACACGTGATCCGTTTCCATAAATGCAGAAATGCTTGATTTCGATGAAATTTTAGCTCAAAAATGGCCGCCATTTGGTCATCTTGAATCGGATCATGACTGAAACGAATGAACGTACATATATCGCACAAGATATGTGATGTATTTGTGAGATTGGACAACAAGCAGCCTATCGGCTGAGATAGCTCCGCTGTTAGCAATGCACATTTCAATTAAAGAAGTGAAGACATCATTAGAAAATGAACAATATGAATAGTATCAAAGCAATCGGACTTACAGTTTTTAACAAGAAGTCGAAAATATCACTTTTTACCAAAAATTACAA